AAATCACTTTTTTTTTCCTTTGTATTTCTAGGCATACTAGAAAGAAAGAAAAAAAAAAAAAGTAAATCCTGCAATAATTCCAATAATTCCATGCTGTATTTTTAACCTAAGATTGTTTGTTTCTTCTTGTGGATTCACGCAAGAAGGATTTCCATTTTCCAAAGATGTCTGCTTGGTCCCAGCAGCCATCTGTTGGGCAGTATGGCAGAGGGAGCCACAGGGACCCAGCCCTGCTCTGTGTGTGTGTTCTTCACCAAACACAGTGTCTGCTCCCCTTGCAGGGGGAATCACCCTCCCACGTCCCAGCACCAACCAGCTTCATATCTGTGCTCTCATAGCTCATCCCTGTGATGAGGCTGAGATAAACACTCACCAAACAGGATGTTCTACAGAGCAACCTAGATCAGATCAGATGTGCTGCAGGAAGTAGAGGGGCTGCACCACACATCGCTGGGAAGACCTCATTGCTTTGAAACTTCTGGCTTCAGCACACATTTTTATTGGGTTCACTTGCCCTTTTCCCCTGTCTTGACTCATTTTTCCGCCTAGAAAATAATCCCAAGTTTATACACTGACACAAAAGTCATTGAAAGTAAGACTAGATTAATTTTTGTAGTGCAGTCATTCCAAGAAACAGCATAGCTAATATTGTGCCTGAGGGTAGAACATACATGGACTGCTTTCGTATTTTAATGAAAAGTATATTCCACTGAGTATTAACACTAAACAACATTACCTAGAGATATGTTAATAATAGTTTTGTAGCTTACTGAAAGATTAAGGGTTGACAATTCCCAGAGAAGCACAGTATTCTATGTAAATTCTCCTAAACCCTAACAGCAGGACTGCAGAAGTGATCATTTATTTATCTCTAACATGTCAGCAGGGTATGGCCACTGAGACGAAACATCTCATTTTCAAGAACATCTTCGGGGATGATGGCAAATTACAGACACCCACAGCGATGCGCTCGGCGTTAAAGAATACAGTGTAAAATCGAATATGACAAGCAGAGGACCTGTTTTTGTTTCATTGCTTTTTCTTATAAACAGAACAATAAATTTGCTTAAAAGCTAGATAAATTGTGAAAGGATGTAATATTCTGTACTGTGATGTTCTGGTCCAATGTCTTAGAATAACTAAAGAATCGTATTTGGTTTTTATTTTAGAGAATTTAAACTTCATCCCCTTTGCAGTTCTCAGACAGCATCAGTTATTGAACAAGAACTGATATTGTGCTAGATGAAGGAATAAGAACCCAATAAACAGCAAAACAGCTTTATGCAACTGGATTTGTTTCATTCTTGTCCTGGAGTTTCCTGCTGCTGCTTTATGTAAGACACTTTTGTGGGCTTTTGTTTTTCTCTTACATAAAGTAAGAGTTCTTTTTTTTTTTTTTTCCATTTCATCATCAACTTTTATTTGAGAATTTTTTTTTCAAATGAAATATTCTCAAACCTTGCATCATGTCACAGAAATAACCCCGGACCAAAACATACCAATGACATCAAAGGTCCTCTTTTGCTGAAATAAAAACAAACACTTCAATAAAATCAGTCTTCCTCCCATCGAAGCAACAATAAACTGAGAATTTCCCCACTGGTAAATGTGCATCCAAAGTCCACAGAAGATACACAACAATTTAATGGCTCAGTGTAAGATTTTCCTTGCAAAGAATAGCATGCTCCATGTTCTTATTTCCTTTGGCAATACTGACTTTGTAGATGTCTATTTGCAAAAAAAGACAGACAAAGAAAGAAAGCAGGACTCACACAGAGATGCACAGCTCCCAGGTAGAGACTTAGTTACATATTGTAAAGGCTTTGGGCTCAGTCCCTCACCTTATCTGGATCAGTATGGATTCACTGAGTTCAGTACGTCACACCATTGAGACTTCAGCTTTCCATGCTTCCCTGATGTCCCTGTACCGTGCAGTGGGTCACGGGTTAGACATACCTCAGTGTTTGGGTTATGGTGAGAACTGCCTAGTTCTCACTTTCTCTCATGCCCGAGCCTTCATTTCAAAGCAAAGGAGTGGCTGAGACTGAGTGTATGTGCCTGGAGTGTGGCAGGATCTCAGCAAGGCCTGATTCCTCCAGCAGGCACCTGCAGCAATCGCCTTGAAAATAAATCTGCAGAGTGAAGGGAGAGAGGACCCATATGTAAAGAGAGAGGAACAGAGACGATCTCAGTACTTCCAAAGACTACCTGAGATTGAGCTTACAAAACTTGAAGCAAAAGCGCGAGATGTTCTTCAGCAGCACAAAACAGAAATTAGAAACGAGGCTCTGTGGATCCAGAATTTGCCTTGGTTTCAAACAAGAGCAGTGAGTTCAATCATGAGAGCAGAAGACAGATGATGAGAACAAGTGCTGGAAATCATGGTGGAAACAAAACTTGAGTTCAGTGCACTTGATTCAGAGAAACTGGATGATCTCACCCCAGTGTTCTGAAAAATACTGGCACAGAAAAAAATAGCAAGCTGGCTGTTCCAGAAGGAAAACAAAGTGCTCAGATCTGGTCTAGACTCATTAGTCTGTCTCAGTGATATTCAGGGTTTAAAACTGATTCTGAAGAAAATGATAATTAAAGACATGAATGTGAAGGGAAAAGGTGATAAAAAAACAACACGAGTGATTTTAAGGTACCTTCTGCCAGGTTGTCTTTAATGAGACAACAAATTTACCTAACAAAGAAAACGTTTCCATCAAACTCTCTGTACTTCAGTAGGTTATACTGGTCTGGGTCACGTAGGAATCCTTTCTTTGAGATGGCAAATATAGGGTCAGTTGCAAAAGTGAAAGGTGAGTGAAAAGCTGGCTTAGAGATTGCAGTGCGGAAGGAAAAGGAAGCAATGAGTAATCCTGCAAGAAGTATGTGGCTGGAGGGATGTTACTAGGCAAGACTCCAAAGTCTTAATATTTTGATAATGACCTTGTCAAAACCTTTAGAGCTGTGCAGATAAATTAGGTAGTGACCTAATATTAGGGATCACATCATGAATACTGAGAAATAGCAGTGTACCATACAAAAAGACATAAATGACTCTTCGGGATGGAGTAAAGGAAAGGGATGAAATCCTGTAGTACCAAAAATGAGATCATGCACTTGGGAACACATTCCCCAGTTTTCAGTCAGACCCAGTGCTGGCTTCAAACACAGAGATTTGCACAGTCATGCCGACCTAACACAGGTAATTGTTATTGATAAGAGTGGGAAGAAGGCTCTAAAACATACTTTAATTACATTATATAAATCCCAGTCCTTTTTCCCATGTGGCAAAGCCAGCAGAGGGAACGTGGTACTCTGCTCCAGCGTGAATGGGCATCCTATAGCAGCACCACAAACACCTCCTGTGGATCACTGCTGCCAACACAGGACCAGCACGGCCACTGGAGACCCCTGTACTAGCAGACCTGCCACCAGCTGCTGACCGCCCAAACAGCACAGTCTGTCACCGTTCACAGGCTGGGCACCAGGCATGGTGGGGCCACAGGAGCCTCGATGGCGTCGGGACACAAGGGCTGCCTTACCACAAGTTTCTCGACAGTCCTGTTCAGGAACAGGGGGTTTGGAGCAGGTTCAGCAACAACAGATGGTCAGTCTCAAGGGATAGGCTTTGGAGCAGAGCTCTCCCAAGTCACTCTGTAAAAAATAGCAGTAGCTATTTTTCTCCTCTAAAGTGGATGTGGTTGGCACCTATTTGGTCAGTTTTCTTGTGCCACGGAGGGCATGGGCACAGATGACAGTTTGCAGGGCATTTTCTTCTTGAGGCTCAGCAAAGCCTCAAGGAGAAGCAATAGCCAAAACTCAGGAGGAAGCCAACTCTGAATTTGTTCCATTGACATATTGCTTCGCTGCCACAGAGTAAGCAGTAGAATCCAGATCTAAGCATATGTGTTTGCAAAACAACAAATGCATTTCCCAGAGCTAGAGATACTTTGCATAAACTGAACAGAGGCAGTTTGGGTTAACTTGGCTGATCCTTCACAGTGCCAGAATTTGAGTGCTCACGCAGTGGGGTAGAGGAAAAGGAGCTGGCTTTTAGCTTGCTGAGTAGCTGCTAAATAGCATTTGAAATAATCTTTGTAGACCATTTGCAATGATAAATCTGATTCTATAAGGATCTCTGAAGGACTTAAAAAATAACAGCTGTCAATACCAAGTTATAGCAAAGAAAGTGAATAAACTATTAAAACGTTAGTAATAAGTCAGAGAATAACCCACCCCAAAATCTCCACAGCCAGAAAAATAAATTGAGAGAATATTTTTCAGCTTTGAAGGAAAGAGTATCATAGCTTTATCCAATTTCTATGTTACGACCTCAAAACTAAAATGATGACTTTGCATTACTGCTGCAATGCCAGGTCTTGTCTGTAAGAAATGAACAGAAGGAGTTTGTCAGAACAATGGGAATCCTGATGACATGGTACCAGCAAGGAGCTTACTAAAGACCCCACCACATCTATAATACATGGGTTGAAATCATGTTTTAAATTTATTGTTCAATTACAGCTTCAGGCTCTTGGAGTTCACTGCTGCCAAGAAATATATATGACATTAAATTATGGAATATTTTGTTAAATATTTTAATACATTTGAGTACTTATAACACTTGATTTAAGTATATTATTCAAAGAACAGAAAACATTGCTCTTTCCTAATTAAAAGTGTGAGTCAGCAAACCCAATAAAATGCTTACTCTGGTGCTGGAAGAAACTGAAGAGTGAGAAAAATCCTATTAGAAAGTCCCCTATTATCCTGGCAATGCCTGACTGAGTGACATCTCAATGCATTTTTGCTGAGTTAAGCCTTACAAACCCATCCACTTGTGGCACAGGATGTCATTTCACCATTAATTTATTTGATTTATCCAGGGATTAATGGACATGTGAGATGTCAGTTAAAATTTCAGAGCACGTTGGGATGCTCTGTCAACTAGTGGTAGGCTATATTAGCAGGAATGTAGGTGCTCTTTGAAGGGTGGAAGGACGCAAAACTCAGGTGGGACTGACTTCCAGTAATGGGAAGGGCCCTGGAGAAAATTGACAGTGCTTTCCTGCTCTTCTGTTCAACAGAGCTTATAGAAAATCTCATTTAAAAAAAAAAAAAAAAAAGAAAAAAAAAAGAAAATAATATTCTGCCAGAGTGTTAGGTGTTTTTTTCAACTTTGTTTTACTTCTGATTGCTCAGGCACTTGGCCACATAGCTCTGGGGAAATGTGAGGAGTAGCAAACTGTTGGTTTCATTTCTTGCTTATCATAGTGGTAGCACACTTGAAGACCTCAGCAGCTGCAGTCTTGGCCAACTACATCTGGATTAAGTAGGTGTGCCTCAGTGCCTTCTCTGCTGACTACTTCTACTCCATAACCTCCCTGATGTTCTCCAGAACTTGTCAGCCCAAGTTAGATTACGGGGTACACTTCAAAGCAGGAGAGGATGTCCAGGAGGGAATGGCAAGAACCTCTTCTCACAAAAACAGAAACCAGATTTTCCTCCCTGCAGGGTCCTCCAACTGCTGTAACACCAGGCAAAGCAGGTGCTTTGGAGGGCACCACAGCCACATGATTTTCATTCTCTGGCCAGCTGGGTGCTGAGCCTCAGAAGAGGGCTCCTCCCCCTGGGCTATGTCTAGGCAGAGCCTACTGGACTGAAGCTCTGAGCTGGGCTCTAATCATTGCCTTGGTCAGCAGCAGCTACAGTTTTCTGAGCACCTTGCCCTCTCACACGCTCCCCATATGTATGAGTAAGCTAGAGCTGATTCTTGATCATTTTCTTAGTTCCAAACACCTTGTTTTAAGGTACTGCCTGAACTGGAGCCGCATTTTTATTTCTGCATTCATTTGTTCATTTTTGTATGGCACTGTAGCACATCACTGAGCCCCATAACCTTTTGCACTTTCCAGGATTCCATCTCCCTTGGAAGAACTGAAATCTCCTAAACTTCCTTTCAAGGACTGTTTAAACCAGAGGTATGCTTTTTAGTTGCAGTTACAGGCATTTCTTAATGCAGTAAGTGTCTGGTTTGTGTTCAAAGATAATCAGGTTTAGGGGAACAGCATGTATTTTTCCCTTGGGTTTCAGGTAACACTCTCTTGGCTGTGCAGGCTACATACAGAGATGATGATACTCTTCACTTTAGCCACCCTTCTGGGAGAATTTCCAGAATCCAGCAATGCTGCTACTGCACAGATCTCCTTCAGAAAATAGCTGCTTTATCTTCAAATGTGTTATGAAACCTTTGAGAAGCTGCTGCTGAAAGTAAAGCTGTTAGAAGGGTCTGGTAGGATTTGAAAAGCACAATCCACTGAGAGTCATGGGAGTCTTTGCAGCAAACCTCTCTGAAGCGGGTTCAGTCATTGCTGTGAGTGAACATATGTTTGCCTTGTTCTAGTAGGAGTGGAGCACGTTCCCCACCGACACAAAGTCTCCTCTTTCTGAAGAGGGATTTTCTGAACATCAGCAGCTTGTCCAAATGCTAATCCTGAAATCAGTGAAGTGATTCTCTAAAGGCTGGTATTTTTTCAATAAATGTTACTATTATCTTGAACACTGTTTTTATTTATCCACAACATCTGCACGAGATGCTCTTACTTAGGATATGATTCTCCAGTTTTGAATTTAACAAGGAGGTTGATAATGAAATAATATGATATATACATATATATATTTCACATCACATTTATAAATGGCCTGTTCATAACCATGGCTTATAAGCATTACGTGTGTTCCCATTTTTGATAGGGAACTGCATGGCAATGTTGCTGGCAAAGAAAATTACAGGGCAATAACTGAGAGTTTAGAAGATATCTAGAACTGTAAAAATGTTGGACTAGAAACAGGCAGGGAGAGCTTCTAACTTTCTGGGTGCTGGCCACGAGCACTGCACTGAGAGGAGATGGATATGGAGCTTGCGGTAGGAGACTGGCAGTCTCTTTAGAGAGCTCTCCCTCACTGTAACTGATAACATCCCAGAGAGCAAATATCCCCAAATCCATTTGTGCTGAGACACAGAGCTCTTCCCACTGCTACACAGTGGTGTGGATTTGTGTGCACTGACAGTACCAGTGTTAGTGCTGCCAGCCATCGTAACTGTGTAACACCATGCTTTGAATCTGAAGAAGACCATTTTATCTCGCAGTTAAAGCCCTCAGTGGAATATTTCAGGGGATCAGCAATCCAGGATTTACCTGGGATGCAGGAGAGCCAATGCCAAATGCCATGGACTAAGCAGGCATATCCAAACATCAAGGTCTTTTGCCTGCATGTGAATGCTACCTCCTTGATGTTGTAGCTCCCACCATGTCCAAATCTTTGCTTTTGTAACCTTTCTGCTTCTGTCTTCAAATATCAACACTGCATGGATATGGGGTGGTTTTAAGCAGTCCTTATAGTTTCTCTGTCAATTATTGGTGGAATACTGACACCAACATGTTTCTTCATTATGGGTTTTCATAAGAGTTTCATTAAAAACCAACTTAATTAAATGGGCAGACATCAGACATGAACTTCTCATCATCTGCATCAGCAGAACGTATTACAACAAGGCAGAAAGTAAAGAAAGACAGCAAACCTGTGTTACTTTTCTCACAAGTCTGGGGAAATTAAGATACTACCCTCCATGATTTGCAGGCCGAACCCTCTCATTTATGGAGTTCCAGTTTCACATGCAAAGTATTGGCTCTTCCAATCCTGAAGACTTTCCTATAGATTTTTGTATGATACAATGTTGTTCCAACTTACTAACTAACTTACTGGGGAACTAACTTACTGCTTGAAGAATTCATGTGTAAATGTAGTTGTTTTCCCAGAGGATCTACTAGAAAGATGCTGCTCTACATTTGCACTCTTAAAAAACTCTTCATCTACTTTTTAAACGAATGTGTAGAAAGCAACCCAAGACAGCAGTCAGCATGGCAAATAGCTCAAGGACAGTGGTTTTTCTAGGAGCCACTTGAGATTAAATACTTTCCGTCAGTCTTGAACCTCATCCAAACAACCCTCCCATCACCATGAAGCCACTGTGACAAATGAGACATGATACTATGTGAGTCCTGAGCTTTATGTTCTTTGCTTCTGGAAATGAGTCAAAGATATTCTGTCCATTATTAATGTCATCATTATCCCAACATGAAACTGGGACAATTGGGAAATAACCAGTAAAATGAATTTATCAAAATAAACAATGTGAGTGAAGAGCCTTCACAGTCCTTAACTGATGAGATCAAATACCACAGCAGATTTTCCTTTGAGTTTTTTTCTTTGTCATTTTGCAGATATCAGAAATTGGAAGCGTTTCCTACAGGGAAGAAACTGCGTTGCTCCAGCCGCTGGGACCTTGGAGTCTTCCACAGACTTTTTTGCAGTCTGGAGGGGTAGCCAGGCAATAGGCGTTTTCAAATGGCTGTTATCTACCTTAAATCATCCAGACTCCTGAGCAGCTCCATGCACTCCCAGCCTCAAGTTCTTGGCACAGGGTGTGGGCTCCTTGGGCCTCCTGGAGTGCCTCCAAATCCTCACTGAGATGACGGTGCCAAGGCCTTAAGTGCTGCAGTCTTGCTTCTATCCCTGCACAGAGCAGAGAAGGAAAAGTGATCTGGATGCTGCCAGGCAGACCACAGCAGATTGCGAGCCTGTCATTGTTTTGCTTCCCTTAAATAGGGGTTCTCTTGTTTTCCCAACCGTGTTTTGTACTTGTGTGTAATGCAGATTTGTTCCCGGATGTGAAAGGAGACCCAGGGTGCTGTAAAGCTGTGGGCAGGTGGTTTGTCAGGAAAAAGGAAGATCTCACGCCTGCTTTCCCGAGCTGGCAGCCATCCCCAGCAGCAGGTGGATCACCTCCCACCCAACGCTCATGGTGCTTCGGGTCCGGCCGTTCCTGGGAACCCGGCTTACTGGTGACCAGAATGGGAGTGGCAAGGAGCGTTTCCTGCTGCTGCACTCTCCTCATCCTCCCTTTCTTCATCACACTTTGTACCTCTGAGTGTGACAAGCTTTGCAGGGCTGGATACAGCCAAAGAGAGTGAAAGCATTAGGGCGGTAAATAAGGGCATGGTAAAAGTTAGCACCATCAGTCAAAAAGCTCAGATATGGAACATTATCAATCTTTTACAGTTATTATGCAGAAGCAAACTGCTGAGTGCATAAATATTTTATAGACCTTAAACTATTGAACAATTATTGGAGCTGGGATTTAATCTCTTTCAGTCTGACTTGACAAAATAACAAAAAAGGGATCAAGTAAGAAAACAGACTGCAAACCAGTGTGATGAAACCCTGGAGTGGATCCAGTGACCTCATTCTCCTCCCACACTGGTAATTGTTATCAGTGTAATTCACCGGCTTTAATGAAGTTACTTTTTATTCACGCTCAAAATAAGTGGGCAAAGAATGGAGTGCACAGCTTTTTGCTCAGCTGTGAAAGGGCACAATGTGAACTTCATCACCCAGGATGCTGCAGGTGCTTGCTGCATGGGAAATACTCCTAGTGCCCTTCTACTGAAGATAAAGGGTCTGAGAGATTTTTCATTTCATAACAAAACTAAAAGGATGGGTTTGATACTTAGGGATCTAACAGCAGCCCTATTTTTTCTCCCCAAAAGGAAAAATTCTCTCCACAGGAAAATTCCCAGTGTTTCCCCAACGGAGTAATTTCTACCACCAATACAAACTCCTTCATCACTGTCATTGCCTTATGAGATGTGAGACTTCTCAGAAATGTTGGGGAGGCCCCAGCACAGCTTTCCACTGTGTTTCTGGAGCTCGTCCCAGCTGCCCAGAAATCCCCACACCATTTTTCAGCCCTACAAACCTAGGAGGTTTGTAGGCCACTCATCCTCAAACTTTGCAGCTGTTTCCATTTGTGCCTCTTTCTGTGTACCTGAGGATGGGGCTCTGCTGGCCACCTCCAGGCAGCTCCAACCTGCCACAGCAGCTGCTAATGCACTTCCACCTTAGTGCAGAAGGGAGCTGCAGGACAGAGCGTGGCCCACCCATAAGCACAGGCTGACAAATAGCTGCACTTCCTCCCCGGTCTCCTTCCTCTTTTTATAATCAGTGTGTAAGCAGAAAGGTCTGCCTTCCTCGAGTCGCACTGTCAATGAGCTGACAAGCGCTGCCTTTCTGATAGGAAGGGAAACTTCCCTGATCTGCAAGAAAAAGGACTAACATTAAAATGAGGCTTGTTTCCAGTTCCTATTTTCACTGTGTAGACAAATAGGGTTTTATACACTGGAGAAGATTTTGCAGTAAAGGTTAAAAATCCTTTTCCTAAGGGAAGTGTCTTTTTTTATTACTTTTCAGAGCTATCAGCCCTGGTTATGCTGAGGAGAGGTGCAAAGGAACACAGTGTACCAGCACTACTTGGGGAAATACTGGGCAGGAACAGGCTTACTTCTTGGGCTCTCCTATAAAAAGGAGGATTAATTGCTGTGATTTAGTGGTTGTTTCAGCTTGTGTCATCTTTCACCTTCCTGATATGTAAAAGATGTGCACATGTTTAAATCTATGTAAGATAAAGTGCATGAGGGTGTGCTGAAGGAAACACAGAAAGGATGCAACTTGTACATGAGGTTGGAACTTCCCCCATGGATCTCAGCCATGCCAAAGGGGAGAAAGAATCATTGAGGCATAGAATCCTTTGAGTTGGAGGGATCTTTAAGGGCCATCTGGCCGAACCCATTGAACAGGGACACCTACACCAGATCAGGTGCTCAGAGTCCCATCCAGCCTGACCTTGGGTGTCTCCAGGGACGATTCATCCACCACCTCTCTGGGCACCCTGTGCCAGTGCTTCAGGGGGCTCTGCATCCCCACCCCTCCCCTCCCCTCATCACAGTTCCCTGCCCTCTATTGCAGACCCCATCCTATTGCCATTTCTAGATTTCTCTGTTTTCCCTGAGGGATGGAGAATGGCTTTTATATTCCCCATCCCCCATCTTCGTCTTTCCTTACTGCTATGTCAAGCATGAAATAACACTACTTCTATTACCACATAAACGATTTTTTGAATACTTCATTCATTTCATTTGCTCATTACCCATTTTTTTGCGTTTTTTTTTTTTTTCCCCTCATGTGTATCAGTGAATTTGGGTAGTGAAAGCACCTCCTTCATTTTGACTTTCTGCCTACTTAATATCCCTCTCCTGTTCTCATGCAACAGCACGGCATTGAAAATATTACTAAGAAATATTTTCTGCATTGGAGCGACTGTTTCCAGAAACAGCTGGTGCACAAACATGCTGTTAAACTTAGGCCGTGTTTTATTTTTAAAGATACTTCTAACCAGTGTAAATTTTCACTCTGGAAATTTCCTTCCAATGTTTAATCAGCCCTTGGGAAGCGCGCTCACAGCAGCTGTTCTTTTGAAGCTGGCACAGCAGATTGAGCTCTGCATTAGATAAAGTTTGCTTCTCATATCTCCCTTCAAAATAGTCAACATTTAAAGGCTGAGTTAGATATCTTTCTGTGTCAGCAGTGCTAACAAGTCCACTCAGCCTGTGCCTTCAGCTGTATGCTCTCAGCCTTCCAGGACTTCGTAGCGCTTTAGGGGCTCAATACGACGCCGTGTACTAATTATAAATTGGATGTGGCCTTATTATCTCGTTCAGGTTTTGCTTTTGGTCCACTTTTCCTTCTTTCACTTTCTTCTTTGTTCATGAGCACCTACTTGCTGAAGTCTACATGTATGAGAAGAGCATCATGTTTCCCTCCTGTTCACATTTTACATGTTTGGGAACTGTTCTGCATGACGCTGAAGTTCTCGAAAGCCTCGGCCTTGGGTCGTGAGAAATCCTACACCTTTAAACTTAACTTTTTCCGCCAGGTCTGCTGAATCAGACTCTGTGTCAGTGATGCTGGAGGCAGCTCAGTCATCTGCAGATCTGGTCCCTGCCTGTGTAGGGCATTGCTGGGAGAGCACAACCACAACCTCAGCCCCAAGGAGCACAAGGTACTAATTGCATCTAACAGACCCTCAAAATCACTTATTTTTTAATAAGAAAATGTGAGTAAAATACAGAAGACAGCCATATGCTTGCACAAGTTAGATAATATTCTGCCTCCCTGTACTGCACTCTTTGTTATAAAATGTCTGCTCTTATACAACATGGCATGAGGTTGGTTTATCTTTCCTGCAACATTAAATTCACATTAAAGTGATACTCAGTAATATTGATTTCTTGCTATAATATATATTGTCATTTCTGTACCAGAACAGCTGAGTTTATCAGCAAAGACCAACTCTTCCAGTCCTAATACAGCAGTGTGAGTAGAAAGAGCTTTACATTTAGAGGTGCAGGAAGCAAAACGCTTGGAAGTCACTTGAGGTGGAAACGTCTAGCAGCACCAGGACTCAGAAAGTTCTAAGACTGCCCATACTCTCAAGAGCATCTCTCTTGAGACAGATGAACGTAAGTAGACTACAGGTGCCAGCAAATGTCAACTATTGTCTTAGGCTGAATTTCTGCTGAGCTGCAAGGTGACCTGCTGATAAGTGCTGTCTTCTAACATATGGCCCTGCAGATAGCTAACGGCCCTGACCGCTGCAAACACAAAGAAGAAACAGAGCCCCTTCATGCTGTCCCTATAGAGGAAGATAAGAGCAGTGGCTGGCCAGAGTGTGTCAGGGGCAGCAGAAGCCACAAGGGGTGATAAAACTGGGAGACACGAGAGCCAAAGGCCAGAGGCGTCCTGTGCAAGGCAGGAACCAGGAGAAGACTTGATATTATTTTGCAAGAAATAAACTCGCAACATAACTAAAAACTCTTCTTCCAGCTTTTTTTTTCCTTAAAAGGCTTCAAAACATAGTCCAGTATTATTCTCTCAGTGTTTTTATATCAAAAGAACCTAGCACAACTTAAGAAACTTAATAGAAAAATGAAATGGAATAGTGCATACTAATCCTACGTTGTTTAGAAGCTCACAAAATATTATTAAAGACTCCTAGCTGGAGCAAATCAAAACCAAGGATGTAACTTGTGAGGACACTCTAATACACTTTGCTCTCACTCCAAGCATGTGTTCTAATGGTCTGCAGTACCAAAAATCTACTTTCTGGTTTCCTTCCAGGTCTCTTCATTGCTATCTCCACTTGCTGCAGAAATCGAGTACTTCTGCACGTGGGAGGCATGGTGCAGCACAGATTTATCACGGAAAAACAGAGCACTCCTTGCTGAAGACACACAGCTAATACCTCTGAAGGCTACAGGCCTGTTGGAGGGGAGCTAAATCATATGCTGGTATGTATTTCATCTCGCAGCCATAAAAAGGGTGGTTTTGTGAATCCTTCCTACACTGAAATGCAATACGGACTCCCTTTGCTGCCCCTGTTAGAGGTGAGATGCACAAGCATTTGCTGTGGGATCTGGATACAAAATGTGAGGCAAATCCCCAGAGCAGCCTAAGAGCAGGGCTCGGATCACCAGGCACTTTGTCTGTCCCCTGGTTGCCTCCCCATGAGCTCCTTTAGCTCCCCACACAGGTGCGGGCTGCCAGAGACAGGCCGGGAGCAGCAAGCTCATTGCTTATTGAAGAGCTGCAGGTTCACAGCCATGCTGTTGTGCAGCCTGCAGAGCATATTTTTGGCTACTTCAGGGGAAGAAGCACAAGGCACAGGTCTTCTCGCCTCACTGCAGCACGCTCGGGAACAGTTGTTATGTCTCAGCCCAGATGCTTCATTTCAGAGGCAAACAGTGTGATTCCTGTATACATTTGCTTTCTCAGTTTGTCAAGCACTTAAGTGCCTTTCATCCTGAAGTATCCTAAACGATAATATGCACTTACGTAGCTCAAGCTCCTCTAATGAACGAGGTCCTCCATAAACGCTAAGTAATTAAGCCTCACAACAGCCTGACAATCCGGGAACAACTCTTCATGATTGTGCCGAGGATGAGCAGATGCTGCGCAGACACAGGCAGGCAGATGGGCAGCAACAGAGGCCCTGGGCTGGGGCTGCCAGCTGAGCCCACACCAGCACTGTGGCCTCACATCCCACACATCAGCCGCAGCCACGTTCCAGCTCCCCTCAGCTCCTCTGCTCTGGGCTGAGGAAACCCAGGGCCCTCAGCTGCTCCTCATACATCTTCCCTTCTAGACCACTGCCAGGGCTTTTCGTATGAACAAGAGAGAGAACTGAAAGCTTTTTACTTCTTTACTTTTACTTCTTCCTGCCTGCCCGCTCCCACAGCCAGGACTCGGTGGTGGGGTGCAGTGGGCCCAGACCAGACCTTGCCGCAGCACTGGTGCTGCAGATGGTGGGACGGGGCCTTGGCACGGCTGCCATGTCAGTGGGGAGAAGGTGCTGGTAACTCCAGGTAATTTGCTTCCATTTCACCTGCAAAAGGAACTTGGCAAGAGACTCTCAGGCAAGCAATAAGCCTCAGACATGCACTCTTCATGGAAATGAAAATGGGGAAACTTCAATACAGTTAAGAGAGCATTTCCCATTAGAAGACATTGAAGCCAAAGGAAAAGAAAATCCTAGGCAGGTCTGCCCACAGACTTCTTTTTCTCGTTCTTCTTCTACATTTGTCAGCACTGCTGTCACCTGGTACTGGCAGCTCTGCAGTGGGAATTTCCTTTCTCTCTGATTTTCTTGTAGCATTATCACAATCAGGAATTGTATGTACAACAACCGTACCTTTCAACTAAAGGAAAAGACCTTTTCGGCAAGGTCTTTCTTCATGTCTTCTATAGTCTCCCTTCAAAAGATATAATGAAAACTATTTTCTCAAGTTAAACAAATCAGGAATTATTAGAAGCATGCAGCTACTATTTTGCCTCTGGTGGCATCTCATGTAATTTCCAGGTAATTTCCAGGTAATGTATTAATGTTTGGACATCACTGTCCTATCTCCTTGCTTGTACCACTTTCTTTTGCTAACCCACAGGATTCAGGTCTCCTGCTGGAAAGCACAGACCTAACCCCAGTGTTGCTTGACTCCTATAATGAGTGCAAAGAAATAAACATGTTCACTGACCAGTTTGCAAAGCCCCGAAGTTAAACCCCTGCCTCTCAGCCCATACAGAGAAAGGTTTTGCCTTGCTGATTCAGCAGCAAAGCCGAGGCACCATGAGGCACTGTGGGAAACCCACCTCTGTGCACCTCCCAACTCTGTTATGCCTTTGCCAGTGCTGCTATGATGCTGTTTCAGTGACTGGCTCCCGCCTGCTCTCTTGCCCATGGGCTTGCCCCCTCTTTGCATTTTGGGACCTTTTGAGCTTGTTCTTTTCTTCCCCTGCCAGTTTACCCCTCTTTTCCTTCCCCCTCTGCTAACAGCTCTCCTGTCCTCCCAGCCCTGCTCTCTGCACTCAGCTCAGTGAGCTCATGGTGTGCCTCTGTCCCTGACAGAAAGGGACACCAGCCCTGTCCCCCACCCCAGCACGTGCTCATGCTTTTGCTCTAATGCTTTTCTTTGTGTCCTTTTTATTTTCCCCCTCTCTCTTAAGGTGGGATCTGTCTTTCCTTATACCAGACAGTGTGAGCAGAGAGAAACCAGACTCAAGGTAAAATTCCCATTAACATTAGAGGGGGCAGGATTTCACCTCAAGTGTTTCATGTTCTGGGTGCTGGACAACAACATGAAAGGACTCCGCACTTGTAAAACTTGAACTGTTGCAGCCATTTGAGCCAAGCAAATGCAGATGCAGATGCTGGTGCCCCCTCTAAGCCCCTCACTGTGGCCATGCATGCTTCTTCCAAGACTGGTGAAGGTCATTAATCTCTTCTTAGCTGTTTATTGATGCCATGATGGCAGCTCTTGCTGAGCACGGAGTTCCTCCTGCACAACCTGGGCCAGGCACTGACTTTTACTGCTGCCGCCCCACAGTACCTCCAGCCTCACTGCCTTTCAAGTGCACCCCCCTTCAATCCGTCTTCCACATCTTGTTTGTGTTATTGCTACTGATGGAGCTTTACAAGCCTCTGGCTGCTTGGATGCTGCTAGCTGATGCCTCGCTGCTTCCTGTCTTCCTGGGACACCTCATTCCCCCACCACTCTGGTGTCAAATCAAATTTCTGAAATATTACTGTGTCCTCTATACTTACTGGTGGCCTTCCGCTGACCTGTTTTCAGTTTTGTCCCCACTGCTACCCTGAGTCTGCAAAGCCCCATGGCCTGCTGCAGATCCCACTGATGCCTTTTGCCTTGGTCTTCCCCTTGGTCGCAGTTTCTGGTGGCTTCATATCCTTGGCTCCATTTATTGCGGCAAGCTTGCAGGTCTGCCCCTGCCTTGTCCTGCCTCTGCCTACTTACAGCCTGTCAGCTTCCCCTGGAGTCTTGATTTTCTCACTCATGAGTCTCTTGCTGAACTGCTGTTTAGTCCCCAGGAGGGCTGCTGCAGGAGCACAGTTTTTTCAAGTAGACATCTCTCTTGTCTATGCAGTTCTTGCTCCTGGCTCTTTGCTGTCATTGCTGTCTTTCACTTGTTGGGGGGTACCCAGGGGAAAATGTCTTGTGCTCAAATTCCCCTGGTAGTGAAATATTGGAATTTTACTGCACTGCATTGCAACCTATTGTCTGAAAATAGCATGTCAGGCTTTGAAAAAGTACCTCATGCTCCATGATCTCAGTTCTTGCTTGAATGCCCTTCACTTAGGCAGTTATTTTTTTTAGAAAGAGAATTACCAATTTGCTATTACCATATAGTTCATGTCTTTAAAATTGAGTGAGTCCATTCTGGTCATTTTTTAAAGCTTTTTTTTTTCTTGGACTGATCACTTGATGCTTGCACACTTTGCAGTGAGCATCCCATTCTGGCATCAGAGCTACTCCCTGGCTTAATGGCATGTCCGTCCCCTGTCACAGTCTGCTGGGACCATAGCTTTGGCTGCTGTCCCTGGCTACAGATGGCCTCCTACCAAGCAGCAGCAAGAGCTTCTTTGGCAGCACCCTCTTGCAGTTGGCTATAAGCTGCCTTACTCTCTGCAGCACCCCAAGTTTTCAGTGCTCCGTTAGATGCCTGGGCATCTCAACACATTGCCAGCATGTGTTAAATACTGTTTGTTTGCCTCAGAGAAATGCACTTTGGATGTTGTTGCCGTGGTACAACTTTATGTTCTACAAAAGTACTAAAAATAACCATGTAGTTGCTTGTGCAATTTAATGTGTCATCAGGACTTCTCAGGGATCTTTACTGTGACTCTGCCCATCTGCTCCATGCCCAAGGCTGAACTAAAAGATTCAATGGAAATAGGGGGTGGAAACTCTTCTCTCAGCCTTGCTCTGTTCTTGGGGACGGCCGTGCTCTGCCAGCAGCTGCCCAGGGCTGCAGGATTCTGCCCTGTTTTCTGCCAGGTGTCCTCGTGAGGATGCCAGGAGCCCTGGCTGTCCTGCAGAACTGGGGCTGGCATTTCACCAGGGAAGCCATCGGGGTGCCTGTTCCAGGGCTCCCAAGAGTGAGGAAAGACAGCAGCTGTCTGTCTGTACAAATGGCCAGATGTCTTTTGGTTGGACTTGTCACTCAGAGTTCTTCAGAAATCAACAGGTGTCAAACGGAGGAGATTAGCACTGAACTAAACCTGTTTCGCACTAATATTCTCCTGACCTTTGTGCTGAGGTGGCAGAGTGCAGCCACGCGTTCCCAATGGCTTTCTCTGGCGTACCGCTCTGTCTGTAACATGCTCACTGTGCTGGGGAGACTCTGGTGCCAGCTCAGCTCTCACTGCAGCATCTCCAAGCCTGGATGAACGCCGGGCACTCCCTGCCAAGCTCCTGCCAGCAGCTGCAGCCAGTGCTGGTAGGAGGCTGATGGCTCATCTGGCTCAGGAAGCCAAGACTTCCCGAGGGCAGTGTGGCAAATGCTCTGTGCACTACTAGGGAGCGTTTCCTCAGCCATTAATAATTCTCAATATTCAGCTCAGCCGCACTGGGACAGCGTGGATGCTGTGCTTACCTGGCGGCTTTCTCACAGTGTCAGGCAGAGTCTTCCTATGCTGGGATTAGAGGATGAATGACGCGCGTCCTTTTGGACTGTCTCACCAAAACAAAAGGCCTGCAGCTTGGCAGTCAGATCTGCACCCTGCAGAGCAGCACACACCTCAGCCTTCAGAGGTTGTTCTCCCCCTGGACCTCTTCCCTGGAGGACCACACAGACCCTGCCTAGACTTCCCTCCTGGTGCAGATGTGGGGGTGCTCCAAGCTCAGGTGATGGCAGCTCTGGCTGCGCTGTAGGATTTTTGGAGTTTTGTCCCCTTTCTCCATCTCACCCTGCTCTTCAGCAATGCCCCACGTGCTTGGCTTCACCAACAATCATTTCACTTTCTTCTGTGACCAGCACTGCAAACTGCCTTCTCTCTGGTGGTTTGTCCTTTTTCCTTTTTTCTGCTATACCTGCTGTATTAAAATAAGAAGTGATGTGTTTCTCCAGCCCTTTCACTCTTATTTAATGGCTAGGAATTGGTTTTCAGCTTTTGTGTTGCCCCTTGCATTAAATATCCTGGAGCTATGGTACTACAGTCTTGGCCTATATCCTTGCGGGTTCTTTCAGAATAGAGCTACATATCTGCTCTACCCTGATATTATTAATACTTTTTTTTTTTTCCCCCAGGACAGTTTGATGGCCCTTACAATTTTGCAGCATTTATCTATGGCTTAGAACCTTTTCTTTCACCAGTCACTCCTACAGGTTGGAAACATGCAACTCAGGTGACCTGGTCACTAATTCCCGTGTGTGGTACAAATCTCTATTTCCTTAGGCAGCCATCTGCTTGGAGCAGGCTATCACCCAACTCTGTTATGCATTGTTTCTGTGTTTCGGGAATTATTCTTTGCTGAAGTTTCACTTACACATTGTCATCTAGTGTGTTGAGAGTAAGCACAAAACCAAGACAAAGTCAATTAAAAATCTTTACCTTTGATTTCTTCATTTCATGACTGTGGCCATTGCTTCACACAAGCATTTGTTTCTTATTTCCACTAACTCCTTCTTCAAAGTATATTTTGTCTGAAATCCAGCACTGATATGTCCTGATACCTTTCCTGTCTATTTATACTTTATCTGGAAACTGCTTGTTAATCACAACACATGCAAAGAGCATGTATTGAGTGTTGGGGCCAAAGGAGGGAAATTAAAGGGGATGATAGACAAAGATGTTGCACTTGTGGCAAGCACTGAGCCGTGCACTCAGGGATTGACCTTTTACCACCTTCTCCTAAATATTCTGCCTTGCAAGATGCTTTCTTCTCCCAGCTTCCGCTTCTGTACAGGCTCATGCATCCCAAAACTAGCTCAAGACTTCCTACCAGCATGACCTACCTTGAATTCTCTTGTTTTATTAAAGCCTTCCATCAGGGTATTCTGGGTTTACTTCACAACTGGAGAACCAAAAGTTATACAAGGAAAAAATTATTCACAGGAGAAAAAAAAAAAAAAAAAAATGATTCAAGTAAAAGGATGTGATAAGAAAGAGGCAGAGAATGTTTCATTCCTGCTTAGAGCTTTAAGAGCAGAGAAGAGAAAGTAATGGTAGCATGTTAGCAAGAATCAGATATTTCTGATTTCTAATTCATCCTAAGCTAAGAGAAAATATCGTATAATATAATTATGTAGGTGTCTCCAGTTGGACAAGATGATCCCAGTTGTCTTTTCCAGCCTTAACGATTCTATAATTCTATGAAAGTAATGCCTCCTACTTATTTCCATGGAAACTTCACAAATAGTAACGTTTCCCTATTTTGGGGAGAGCGGAGAGCAACTCTGGGATATTGTGAAATTTGGACTTTGCAAGTATCAAATATTTTATAAATCCTACACCCACTAGGCACTGCCATTTGCTCCATCTGGGCAATAGAGGTGCTTTCAGGCCCAACTCCAAATGTATAGCATGACTGTTTTTAGGCAGGATCTGACCTCTTGAACTAGTAGAGTTCTGCCTGTCTTCTGCAGCGATGAGAAACTGCAACTACTTAGAACATATTGTGAAAAATTAAATAAATAAGGATGACATTATGGCCTTTAAGGGAGTTTTAAAGAATCTGTGAGAGAAAAAGCTGGATATGCAGAATCTTTAATTTCAATTAACTGTTTTTCTAACCAGCAAGGGAAAACAAAACAAAAAAAAAAACAAAACTCATTAGTGATACAAAGCAATGAGCTTCAGACTGAAAGATTTGTGTCAACATCTGGACCTGGGTCTTGAAAACTAGGTGTCTGAGGTCATTCCATTTTATAAATACAGCTTACAAACGGTACACACAGAGTACGAACAAGTGCAAAGCCTGGAGACATATAAGCAGTGTGTTTCATTCCTGGACATTGAAATAACAAAAAGGGCAGTCAAAGGGCTCCGCTCAACATATGTGCTTTAAATATATGCAAAGAGCCCATGTGACACTCAAATAATAACACTGGGAATATGGGAAATGAGGCTAAGAAATATTTACATTACTCTTTCTTTTTTACTGGAGTGAAGAGTTAAACTTGGTTAAGGATAGGCTGATTAGGTCAAGAGCATGGGCTCCACCAACTTTGCAAAGCACTCTGAACAAATAAAGTGAATAAGATGTCTTCATAAGATCAAATTCTCACAGTAATTTGAAGCCATTTCTCACAGAAAACACATTTACTTATTACAGCAAGTAAAACCAAGAGCACACTTGTTTTTCAGTGTGAAGGTGAACAGAAAAAATAGACTTTTTCTTCAAATCTTTGGCATCTTTTTCTTCCACGTGCCTTCCCATCTCAGCCAGGAGGTCAGAGCTACCCACTATTGCACAGGGGTTAATTGTGACAGCTGTGTATTTCTCCTACAACTCAATTAGCGAAATGCCTGCTCTAGTCTAAATATGACAGTGGAGAGCTTTGTCTGCAGCCATGTTTTGTCTTCCAAGTAAGCCTCATGCTTTTTGGTTGAAGGTAGCAATCATGGTGAGTTTAAGGGCAGATCTACAAGTGCTCCTACTTCTTAAATGCCATACACAGGTCTGGGTACCTCATCTCAGACAGCGTATAGTGGAACTGCAATGAATAAGGCATGTATGATGAGGCTCAGAAGTCCGGAACAGTGTTTGTAACAGGGATTCTGATGTAGCTAGGATTCTGTAGTTTAGAAACGTGGCGACTCTCTTTTAGAATATGAAATTAGGAATGGTTTATGGAAGAAAAATGGAAAAAGGATGATTAAACACGACATGTCACAATAGAGCTGGGGGCATTTGAGGTAAACATCCAGCAGTCAATTTAAAACAATCACAAGTATGTCTTTTTTTCTTGCCATTTTAAAGTGATCTTTGAAATTTACTGTCACTGGATATAACCAAAATTGCAGCTAGCTGTGCAACAGTCAGTTGTGATTTGTAATGAAACTATTGCAGAGGATCCATCTGTGAGTGACAAACCCAGAGCTCCAAGCTGAGCTTCCTTCTGTGAACTTCCCTAAAATGCTAACTGTTACAAACAGGGAGGGTACTGAGGAGGCTCACTCTGTGTTTGCCCTGTTCTACATGGGGCTCCAACTCAGCACTCAAACTGCAGCTGTGACTGCGGTCTACACGGGCTGGTTCTGATCCAGTTTGCTAGTTTTTATATTCTTGAGTGTTGTAGGAAAGTGGCCACACAGTATGCAGCCGTGTGAACATTTCCATGGTCAAAATGTGAACACGCAGACCACGGTCATTGCCAGCTTGGTGGTGGGAGGGAGGAGAGTGGAAGAAGAGAAGGGCTGGCTCATCCCTGCTGCTCATCCACCCATAGCACCAGGTCTGGTTGCTGACAAATGCTACTTTTCAGGGGATCTCTGTGTTCAACTCAGTTCTCTGCACTGTTGTCTAAATACCACAGAATATAGAATCAGAGCGCTTGAAGATGGAAAGGACCTCAGGAGGTCATGTCCAAACCCACGCTCAAGCAGAGGCATTTAGAGCAGGCTGACCAGGACATATCCAGAAATTTTTTGAAGATCTCCAATAGGGACACTCTATAACTTCTCTGGCCAACCTGTTCCAACCTAATTGGGTTGGATTGTGATTATGATATGATATTATGACGATTATATTTCTTTGGTAGATACTCATTCTCTTCAACACGTTGGCTATCATGACTTTTTCAAAGAATGTGCCATCTTTCCCATCCCATAATTAGAGCCAAAGAAAAAGTGGAAGAATTGAATGATTAGTGAGATTTTTAAAGAAAGGGAAAACCTTTCTTTCACTGCACTTGGTGGTAACCAAAAGCTGTTATCATCAGATGGCTCATTTCACAGAATCAGAATCGTAGGGGTTGGAAGGGACAACCAGAGATCATCGAGTCCAACCCCCCGCCAAAGCAGGTTCCCTACAGCAGGTCGCACAGGTAGGCATCCAGGCAGGTCTTGAACATCTCCAGAGAAGGAGACTCCACCACCTCCCTGGGCAGCCTGTTCCAGTGCTCCGTCACCTCACTGTAAAGAAGTTCTTGCGCACATTTGTGTGGAACTTCCTATGCTTCAGTTTCTGGTTGTTTCCCCTTGTCTTGTCTCCACACACTGCTGAGAACAGTCTTGCCGCTCTTCCCCCTACACCTTAGATATTTATAGACCTGGATCAGGTCCCCTCTCAGTCTTCTTTTCTCAACGCTGAACAGACCCAGTTCACTCAGCCTTTCTTCATAGTAGAGATGCTCCAGGCCCCTCACCATCTTTGTGGCCCTCTGCTGGACTCTTTCCAAGAGATCCCTGTCATTTTTGTACTGGGGAGCCCAGAACTGAACGCAGTGCTCCAGATGAGGCCTCACCAGGGCAGAGTAGAGGGGGAGGATCACCTCCCTTGACCTGCTGGACACGCTCTTTTAAATGCACCCCAGGATGCCATTGGCCTTTTTGGCCACAAGGGCACACTGCTGGCTCATGGCCATCCTGTTGCTCACCAGGACACTCAGATCCCTCTCCGCAGAGCTCCCCTCCAGCAGGTCAACTCCCAACCTGTACCAGTGCATGCAATTATTCCTCTCTAGATGCAAGACTCTACACTTGCTTTTGTTAAACCTCATCTGGTTTCTTATTGCCCAGCTCTCCAGCCTGTCCAGGTCTTGCTGAATGGCCGCACAGCATTCAGGAGTGTCAGCCAATCCTCCCAGCTTCATATCATCAACAAACTTGCTAAGAGTGGCCACTATCCCCTCATCAAGGTCATTGATGAAGATGTTGAGTATGGCTCAGCCCACCCAGCTTGTGTGGCCCCCACCAGTGCAGAGCTATTCCACACCAGCACTGCTTGCGGAGAGGCTCCCAGCTTCTGGGAAGGTGACCTCAGCCTTGAGAAACACACTTTTTTGGGAAATACCAGCTTAGTTTTGGAGATAACCATGAGGAGACTGACTACAGTGCAAAAGCTAGGTACTTTCCACCTCCTGGCTTCCTAACAGCAGGGGACTGTGAGATCCAACTGCTGGAAGGGGGGGGGGCAGGCATGTCCAGTCTAGAAGTAAGGTGCTGCTTTAAGGGACAGTTATTCAGCTTTGAGGCAATTCAAAATTAATGTCTTTAAATTGAGATAGGATCTTCTCACATAACGCCACAGTTCAGGGAGGCTGCAAGTTTGGACCCAGGCCCCTTGTAAGGGGTTCTCTGCTGTTAAAGCCCAGGAATCACAAGTCTGGTGCCTCTGCAGAGGGAACTTTTCTCTGTATCAAGCAGAGAGTTTGCTCAGGGACAGCACTGTTCACCTCTGTGTTGCAAGGGCTTCCTGTAGCCATGAAGCGTTCAGGAAACTCACACTTCTGTAGATGTTGTTCATCCAGTAAGGTCTGGACCTGTTGTGCTGGATTTGGTTCACACCTCTGCAACTTGACAAAACGTTTCTTTGATTTGATGGCAAACACAAAAACAAGAGAGCAAATTGCAACTATTCTAGCCAGATGATCTTCCTTTGGTCTTTGGATATA